ATTCTTTTGTTTGGAGAACATGAAATTCAATCATCAGAGGGTGTTCAGCAGGGTGACCCACTCGCTCCACTTCTCTTCTGCTTGGCAGTAAGAGAACTAATTTCCAGCCTACGCAGTGAGCTCAGTATCTGGTACCTGGATGACGGCACTCTGGCAGGTACTGAAGAGTCCCTGGTGGGGGACCTACAACTAGTGAAAACACAGGGGGAAAAACTTGGGACTCATCCTCAATCCCTCCAACTGTGAAATCATCACAGCAAACCAGGAAATAATCAATGCTGTGCGAAGAATCCTCCCAGAAGTCTCAGCTACCACTCTGTCCAACAGTACCCTCTTGGGGGCACCGCTGGGTCACCAGGCCATCGACACTGTCCTCAGGACAAATTGAATGAACTGGTGAGAATGGAGGAGAGAATAAGCGATCTCGATGCCCATGATGCTCTGTATCTCCTCACAAGGTGTCTTACTATGCCAAGACTCACTTACTTCTTGAGGTGTGCACCCTCTTTTGACAACCCAAAACTTGATGGGAAAATGACGCAAAACCTGAGATCAACTTTTTAAAAAGGCACTGAACCTGTCACTAGAGGATGAGCAATGGGATCAGGCAGCCCTCCCAGTGCGACTGGGAGGTATTAGGGGTGCGTAAAGCAACGCATGTTGCTTTACCTGCTTTTCTGTCTTCGTGTTTGGCTTCCGGTTTACTGAAGCAGCGATTCGGTGGGACACCCTTACAGACTCCTCCAGTAGACCAGCTCCTCACAAACAGCACAAACAGTCTCACTGGGACAAACCGATCAAAGGAAAAAATCGCCAACACAATGCTCTCCAATGCTTCAGGAAAGGACAAAGCTCATCTCCTGGCAGTGAAGGCACCACACTCAGGAGATTTCCTGTTAGCTGTTCCCAATTCCTCCTTGGGCACCCGTCTTGACCCACAGGCCATTCGGATTGCTGTTGCTCTTCGCCTAGCCACCCCCATCCTCACTGAACATAGGTGTATTTGCGGCAGGGCGACAGCTGATCAAATTTGGACTTTCATGGGCTTGTGTGTCACACAGCAGAAGGGGAAATATGCCAGACATGAGGAGGTGAATGACATCATAAAGAGAAGCCCGCCACAGCCTGTTGCCCAACTCAACGGGAACCCCAATACAGAAAGGGCTGATGGAAGTCAAAAGCGTTCCTGATGGAGCCACTATGCTACCCCTGGGAAAGGGTGGAAAGCAGATTGCCTGGGACTACACCTGTGCTGCCACATTGGGAGACACCTACTTGCCATACTCCATAGTGGAAGGGGGGGGAGCTGCCAGCCACAGGAGACCCAGAAGATCCGAAAATATGGGAAAACCTTCCCCCTTGCTATAACTTCATTCCAATAGGGTCGAGACCCTTGGAGCATGGGCAAGTGTGCTCTAAGTTCCTCAAAGAGCTGGGTGAAAAGCTCATCATAGAAAAACCCAAAGGGCCACAGGGCGACCAGCTTTCTCTTTCAGAGACTCAGTTTGCGATCCAGAGAAGAAATGCCTGCAGCATTCTGGGCACGCGCCCACCGCAGGGAAACTGGACGAAGTATTCGAGATGTAGCTCTGAGTTACCTGGTTGTTTTTGCTTTCTGTTGTATTTTGTGAATGTTTTGGCCAATATATTTTTGTCTTTAAATAAAACATTCTTGAAATAATAGGGGGTGGTAGGAGAAAATTCTCAAACAGCTTCAGGGAAAACCTTGAGTTTTCCCTGAAGCAAGTTTATTCTTTTCTCTGAGGATGAGGGTCCCCAGGACAGTTCTAGAGGTGGCACCTCCCTATATATATATATTATATATATATATATATATATATATATATATAATATATATATATATATATATATATATATATATATATATATATATTATATATATATATATATATATATATATATATATATATATATATATATATATATATATATATATATATATATATATATATATATAATATATATATTTACACTAAGATCACAGTAAACAGGTGATTTCAGAATATGCAAAACAGCCACTGTGAAAGAATAGAGAAATTCCAAACGTTTTCGTGACTACTCACATTATCAAGGAACAATGTTCCTTGATAATGTGAGTAGTCACGAAAGCGCTTGGAATTTCTCTATTCTTTCACAGTGGTTGTTTTGCATATATATATATATATATATATATATATATATATATATATATATATATATATATATATATATATATATATATATATATATATATATATATATATATATATATATATATATATATATATACATGTAGGTAGTAGGTTGGTAGACAGCAACCACCCAGGGAGGTACTACCGTCCTGCCAAGTGAGTGTAAAACGAAAGCCTGTAATTGTTTTACATGATGGTAGGACTGCTGATGTCTTTTGTCTGTCTCATAAATATGCAAGATTACAGGCATGTCTTGCTACTTCTACTTACACTTAGGTCACACTACACATACATGTACACATTTATTTATACACACTCATCTGAGTTTTCTTTGATTTTATCTTAATAGTTCTTGGTCTTATTACTTTTCCTTTTATATCCATGGGGAAGTGGAATAAGAATCTTTCCTCCGTAAGCCATGCGTGTTGTAAAAGTCAACTAAAATGCCGGGAACAATGGGCTAGTAACCCCTTTTCCTGTAAAGATTACTAAAAAGAATAAGAAGAAAATTGTTTTCTTTCTTTTTTGGGTCACCCTGCCTCGGTGGGAGACGGCCGACTTGTTGAAAAAAAAAATATATATATATGCAAGGCAAGACAAACCATGATGGGGGTGGGGTAGAATTCTTTAGCTCAAGTACTTTCACACTTCGTCACCAGGAGCTGTGCAATGTTGCAAGGGCACCAAGAGGAGAAATAGGGTAAATTTTTTCAGAGTATGATAGCGCGGTGGCACCAGCGGAATGCCAATCACACACCGTTCCCCCCCCACCCCACCCCATGTGGGGTGTGGGGGGAGTAGGCTCCCCAGTTTGTAAATGGTATGATACATTTACTTTTCTAATGTCGATCTCTGTGTTAGGACTTAGAAAGCTACTCGTGATGAAACGATTCCTCAATAAATATCTTGAACTGCGCCGCTTAAGTGTCATTATCCACACTACCGGTATCGCTATGCCTGTTATCCAGGTAACGAACTGCACAAAGCGGTGAGATTTGTCACATCGACCCAGTATGCCGGACGTGTCATATTTCAGCAGAGCCCTTTACCTTAGGAGACATGTTGGTGGCCTCAGTGGTAAATACATGGAAAATGCCCATGAGATCACCCGCCTGGCCTAACATCATGAACAGTCGAAAGGCAGCTGTTATACTAGAAGACGGGCAGTCATCAGCAGTTTCATTATAGCTACAAGTATTCTTCTGAAACTTTAGGACATCATTCGATCAGAAATAATTCACTGCCCTAGCTGTAGGGTAGAGCCTACAGCTAGATCCAGCTTCACACTGTTTCCTGTATGTATGCTGCTCAATGTTAGATGAGTATATAGCTATTAATACAGTGCAATAAAAATATACTTCTAGGGTCAAGTTGTGAAATAAATTGCAATAGGATAATAGATCTTAATTTGCAAAATAAATGCAGAGTTTTGTCCTAGCCCCTGAAGATCCCTTGAGTAAAAACAGAAAAGAGCGAATATTGAAAGATCTGGAGAATAAAAGGCTGCAAAACAAGAAAAAAAACACACATTTCGACTTCCTGGTGCTGTCTGCCAGGAGATGTGTGGCAAGGTGGTGTTGCCAGCCACACACTGACCATCTGAGGCCACCTCGTTATTATCCCATACCTGACTCCAGACCCCCTACCCTCTATATCGTCCTTGGCCCCACCATCTACATGGTTCATAACCCCACCCTCAACCTGATCCCAGACCCCAACCTCCCTGTGGTTGGGGTCTGGTGTTCCTTCCCTCCTTCATTGATAAATATCATTGTTAAGCTTCTTTCCTCAGATCTAATCATCATTATTTTGCATTCATTGGCTGTGCAGCTTTAACAACAAATTCTACAGGTTCTAACTTTTTTCGTACATTCTTCTCCTCAGTTTTTCTTCATCTGGAAACAGCGACACCTGAGTGTCGAGTACATCTGATGGGTCGTTGACATTCGTCAAAAATAGTATGGGTCTAAATGGTATAAAATACCGACACATAAGCAGTATAATGTGATCCTTTATTGACAACGTTTCGCCCATATAGTGGGCTTTATCAAGTCACAAACAGATCTGTTTGTGACATTATACTGCTTGTGTTCATTTTTCCCATACATGGACTGATACATGGGAGCTCCCATCGTTTTACTTCCCTGATCCTGGCTGCGATAGCGGACGGATCATCAAACATCCTACAACACTCTTGTGCAGAATGGGCCACATGAGCTGAACGCTCAAAGAAATATTATCTACAATCAATTCTCTGCGAGTATCCTAACACAACAGTATACCTCACCGATTTACGGAACACTTTTTCCGTTGTTCATAGGAAGACAAATCCATGTCGGGTCTACTCTATCTGTGAAATGTGATGTGGATAACAGATACGGCGCTCATATTACTGTGACTAAGCGATTGTTGTTTGGTAGGGGATGGATGATTTATGTATCCCGTGATCTTACCGGTACTGCTGAGGTCACACGGTCGTGAGGGTCGTTGCTTTGGCGAACTGCGTGAAATCTGGAATCCAGGTCTGCTTTGACGAAACTTTTCATTATGGTAATGAGGTTTTAGAGCTCTTCTTGACTATTACTTGATGTCTGGAACCCATACTGTGTGATGGAGTTCAATAAACATTCTTCTGTCATGAAATATAACAGAGGAAAGTTTATTATTCCACAGTAAAAGTATCTTATAGAAAACCAGCAGCACTGCGGATGTGCATAATTTGTTAGATAATAATAAAGCCCTTGCCAAACTATGCGAAGGGCGTGTGTTGGCCCCACCCTGACGTGACGTCACAGCCTAGCTACTACATAAGGGGCAGCAGACAGTGATGTCCAGCACAAGCTGTACACCGCCTGTACCTCACCACCACCACCGCCGTTGTCATGAAGTCTGTAAGTAACTTATTTTGGTGCTCACAACTGGCTCATATCTCTCTAGTTACTTATGAATGCTAAAATACTCGTATAGATTTATGGCAATTTTTTTATGAATATGTAATAATTCTTAATTTCACTTGAGACTAGTGGCTCAGTGGTACTTTGTCTGGTATTATATCTAACAACAATTCGAGTCCCGGGAGAAAGTGTGGGTTGGTTTTATGTTAACCAGAGCATTATTTCCACCAGCTGGTGATCTTGTGTGCCCTGGCCGCTTGCGGCGCCTCCCAACTGCTGGCTCCTGGACCAGTGGCAGTCCGCGCCCCTTCCTACGACTCCGCCATCATCCAGAGTCATCGTCTGGGTGGTAACTTCGCTTACTCCACCAACGAGGCTCACGCCTACGCTGTGCAGACACCTGTTATCGGACTTCGCTCAGTTCCTGTCGGTGTTAGCTACGAACCAGGCACCCCCATAGTCAAGACTGCCACACAGTACATCATCCAGCAGATCCCCCAGTACGCCTACGCCTACCCCCATCTCCATGCCGCTCCCCAGGTCGCCTTCCCTTACCCTTACACTTTCGGAACCGCTGTTATTGCCGCTGAAGCAGCAAACAAACCCGGCACACAGGAACAACTCACCGATGCCGAACCCGCCACAGCCGAACTCACCGTTATCGAACCCTCCGCAGCCGAACTCGCCGATACCGAACCCGTCACAGCCGAACTCACCGATACCGAACCCGCCACAGCCGAACTCACCAATGCCGAACCCTCCACAGCCGAACTAATCAATGCCGAACCCGCTACGGCTGAGCTCACCTTTGTCGAACCCGCCACAGCCGAACTCGCCGATCCCGAGCCCGCCGCCGTAAACGAACGCATAGTGGACACCCTGTAAAATGCCTCCTTCGTTCGTGCGCTTCACTCTTGCATCAAGACGCACTTGTCTTTCCCCTCTACTACCTACCATTAGTTCGAGTTATAAATGTATCATGGTGTGGGTTCGCCTTGGCGTACGCGTGTCTTGTCGTGATCACGTACTCTCTTGGACATGCCTCGTTGTGTTCCGCAGTGACAGAGCCCATCAGGGTTGGTCGCCGCGTCAGGTATAGCTCCGGTGTACAAACTTGTGCCTCATTTTTTTCATAATAAAAATAATTGTGTGCTACCGTATTATCAATTATTCCTTCGTCCCATAAAACGATGATTTCTCTTGAAATGTTGTCATAGAAGATAATGACTGGGAAAGAGCAGACGGAACGTTTTAATCACTCTGTTATCAGTCGGGTATACTTGTAACAGCGAGTGAAACGTTGGCATAAAGACACGTAATATAGTCTTACAAAAAAGGTCACTGAAGGTCACCGAAACCCTGCAGGTCACTCGACACCAGGAGTGCTGGAGGCTCGATCCACCTTTCTCTAATCACGAGACGTAGGCTCTTCATCAAGTCCAGAAGTGGACTTCATGAAGTTCATATGGCTTGGTAAAGTTCACTGCTCAACGAGATGTCGTTTAAAATAGTTTCGCTGTGCGTTACATACATTAACACCGCTGGAGCGTCTTGCCCCTCGCCAGGAACTACTCAGTGCTTGAATAATTGCTCCCATCCATCAGCCTCACAATATTCCTAAAAAATTGCTATAAATAATTGTGTGTAAAAGACTTCCTCTTAACGACCGTGCATATATTACTGTAAATTTTGGCCTATAATTACTCTAATAGAAATGTCTGTCAAATGATGTATGTATATGTCGTGCCGAATCGGTAAAACTGGTCAATTAGTAAGAACCCCTTTAAAATTAAATGAGTTCTTGCTAACTGACCAGTTTTACCTATTCGGCACATTATATTATATATATATTATATATATATATATATAATATATATATATATATATATATATATATATATATATAATATATATATATATATATATATATATATATATATACACACACATATATATATATATATAATATATATATATATATATATATATATATATATATGCAAAACAATTGCAGACAGTCGGTCGTAATAATGCAAGACAAGCCACGGGATGGGAGGAGGGGTGAATCTTAAAAGCTCAAGTACTTTCACACTTTTTAGTGCATCATCAGGAGCTGTGCAGTGTTGCAAGGGCAGCAAGAGGAGAAATGAGGGGAGGTTTTTCAGAGTATGGCAGCGTGGGTGGCACCCGCCAGTCTCTCTGAATGATTCCGCCCCCGCCCCACACCTGTGGCTTGTTTTGTGAAGAATGATAGCTTCAAGCCTTTCGTGTTGCAATCAACACAGCAAAAAAATTCCCCTGGAAGAATTTGCTTGGACTTCCTATTCATTTTTGCACCATTGCAAGCTCCTGATGATGTGTTGATTGCAACATGAAAGGCCTAGAGCTATCATTCAACTTCACCTGTGATTTGTTTTGCATCTTAATGTACATATTAAAAACCTAGCAAGGGAATCAATCCACAAGTTCAGTCACATTCTCAGGGAGTAGAATGTGAATGAGGGATCACGACAGTACTCGAAATGTAATTGTCTCTCAAATTGGTTAGATTTTATTAACAAGTTTATATCCTGAGAAGATAAAGACAAACAACACAAATTACATCCTTAGAAACACCCATTACCAGGCCAGACCTCACTTCCACCACCGAAAAAAAAAAAGACATTGACCCCCCGGGACTAAACAACTGTGATCCAACATGGAGCCAACACTCACTCTATCTCATACTTATAATGTTGTAAACTGTGGCATATCACAGCTGAGTACAACGTATATTTTTTACAATTGAACGAGTGACGTGGGACATCTCTTTCTCATTTGTTAGAAATAGCGTCAGTGTAGTTGTTTACCTTTTTTTTTTTGTATCTTTATCAGGCTTGGCCAATCGTGTACGTGGATTTAGGGTAAACAGTTTTCCTGGACGGGGATGTGTTGATGACTGGCAGTCCTGCATAGGCAAAGCCAGCTGGGAAGTCGTAGTTAATATCGTGCTGGAAGTAGAAATATGGAGATGTGAGACCACCTGTTAACTGGTTTTGTATCTGTGGTAACTGTGATTGTTGCTGGTGAGACTGGAACTGATATTGTTGTACTGGAAGCTGCTGCTGGTGGACGCTGACCTGTGACTGCTGCAGCTGCTGCTGAATCCTTAGATGCCGGGCATCGAGTTCTCTCTGCAGAGCTTCCAGTTTTTCTTCCTGGAGTCGCAGTTGTCTCCTCTGTTCTTCCAGTTGTTGCTGTTGCAGCCTGAACGCCTCCTGCTGTCTCTTCACAAGCTGGTCTTGGAGTTGCTGCTGCTGGGACTGCTGTTGCTGCAGTTGGTAACTAGAAGTCTGTGACAGAGTGCTAGCGCCCAGTGGCGGTGGGATTGCGAACTCTCTTGTGCCTTCGACAGCAGCAGTGAAGGCCGGGGCTCCTAGCACCTTAGAGGCAGGGGTGTCAGGACTGATGGGCAGGTCGTTGCCCAAGACTCTGAAACCTCTGTTATCAGCGACGTAGGAACGAACAACCTTGGGACCAAGAGAGATTTAAACGTTGTAACAAGGTTTGTTGAAGTGATAGTATTGCACGAAAACCAGTAAATATATAATATAATAACTAATTAGTCAAGTGTATTATATAGTCACATGATTCCATGAAATATTTCAGTTTGCCTTAAACGTCATATTGATATATTATTCTTTTGTAAACTCTTTACGAATCATATAAAGTGTTTGCTCATTGCTGTCAATAAATTTACCTGTTTTCCAGTTGGGTCGAAGTAGCGGTAAGAGCCGACGATGGAGCCGTCGTGTTGTCGTACCTCCACCTTAGCGATGCCGTCGCCAGTGTTGTAGCCGTAGTTGTAGCGCCCCCCAGCGGGTCCCACGGAGTATGCCCCACGCTCCTGGGGCGCCGCTGCGTACATCACACCCTTGTGGCTCACCGTGTGGATCCCAGCTGATGCCATCACCCTCCCGCAGCGCCAGCAGCAGAGGGCGGCGGTCAGCAGCAGAGCCTGGCCAGGTAAAAAGGATTTTACTTATTCAAGGAACGTAATAAAATAGGAGTACCATAATAGGTCATTTGGCCCATGTTAGGCATGTCTTACTCTCACTCTCTATAGCAAGTTAACTGGCCCTCGCTAGGCATGTCCTATAGACATGCCTAGCAAGGGCCAGTCAATGTGGCGTGTGCCCAGTACGTTACACTCCATTTTGTGTTCATCACACAACCACTTTTTGCATTAGTTCTGTACCAGCCAAACTGGCAGTTAAATCGGTGTGGCTGTAGTAGCCTCCAGTCACTCTGATCTGCTGCCAGGTTTATATGTCAACCAGGTGGATGGCAGGTTGACTCCAGCCGAACTGATATTATACTTATCCTCCAATTTGAGTCAATCTCTCACTAGCAGGCTGAGTACATGTACTAGTCTTTCTTATGAGTTATAAGGCAATAGTAGTTATTGAACTTGCTTTGGTCTCTCACTCATTATTATTTTGATCTACTTAATTCTATATATATTATAAACATTGGTGGTGGGAATATACGGGTACTCAAAACCTTTTGGTGTTTACCTTCGTTTTTATTCTCTTGATTTGTTCCTCGCCAGGAGACTTGATTTAGAGACAGATATTACATGCCTTTCTTAGTGTAACTTGAGTTCGTAACTTTCAACCAACTCATACTAAACATGTCCTACTCATATCTACCCATGACCACAAGGCATGAAAAAATATGGCAACGACCACTGATTTCCCTCTCTTGATATCTCTGATTCTCTCTCTCATTCTCCTCTCCCTAGACCACGGTACATTATAATACCTGTGCTGTACAACACTTCTTGGATCTCACAAAAAGATCATTTTTTCAATCCCAAGGATCTTTCTTAACTACAGTAGTTGTTCCAGTAACTTCCATCACAGACACTTAAACCGCTACAGCACACAGATGTTTCACGGTGGGGAGAGGGAAGGAGGGTTTCCTTGATGCCGATGAAGGTCTCTTGATTTGAGGGATTAAAGCTACCCCTACCCTTCCGCGGATCAACTTTTACTCATCTTCCACTTATATGTTTGTGTCGCAGAGAAACCGGCAGATCTGCTGCCTTCATTACAAACACATGAAGGCTAGCAGATGTCCCAGTGAGAGAGGATGGGATGAATAGCTCCTTACAAGTCCCAGTAGGGCCTCCACCTTCGGATGACCTTCACAACAATAGGTGATTTATTCGTTTTTGAGACAAGCAAGTTCTTATAGAATAAACAATACCGTGGCTGGAACAACGCAGTCAACCAGGAATAAACTACACCGTGGCTGGAACATCGCAGTCAACCAGGAATAAACTGCACCGTGGCTGGAACAAACCACAACCAACCCAGGATGAACGACAATACCGTGGCTGGAACAAATCAAAACAATATCAGAATAAACAACAGTACCGTGGCTGGAACAAGGTACAACAATCCCACACATAGGCATTGAAAACCGGTCGACACTTAGGTCCGACCTGGACCTTTATTACGATTTTGTTAAGGGTCCAGGATGGACCGGAACTTGGTCCAGTTTTTAATTTCCAGTTTGTGAGTTCGGTGTGAAACACTTTTATTCCCACAACCAGTTTCAATACAGACATAACCAACCTTCACACATGATGGTGTTGTTGCTCCTCCTGTGATGTTAATGTTAAGGCTATTGCTATTTTTGTATTGTGGTATTGCCAGAGTTACTGTTGTTACTTTGTATACTGAAAACTGATTAAAATACAAATAGTATTAATATTGTTGGTTGTGTTGTTAAACCAGCCTCGTGTGTCCTGTTCGTTCTGTAATTCCAACGGTAAAAAATCAATTACCTTTATTTCGATAAAGATCAGGCTAAATATAAGGGAAAAAAGTGAACTTATGGGACAAAAATTTATTGTGGTGGAGGTGACAGCTGCCCAGAGTACTACTGTCTTTGTTATGGAAGACCTAAAATGATCTTATCCGGCAGTGTAAGATAGATACATAGACACACACACACATACACACACACACACACACACACACACACACACACACACACACACACACACACACACACACACACACACACACACACACACACGCCTTCCTAAATCACACAAAGCAGTGTGTGTGTGTGTGTGTGTGTGTGTGTGTGTGTGTGTGTGTGTGTGTGTGTGTGTACTCACCTATTTGTGGTTGCAGGGGTCGATTCATAGCTCCTGGCCCCGCCTCTTCACTGATTGCTACTAGGTCCTCTCTCTCCCTGCCCCATGAGCTCTATCATACCTCGCCTTAAAACTATGTATGGTTCCCGCCTCCACTACTTCACTTTCTAGACTATTCCACGGCTTGACTACTCTATGACTGAAGAAATACTTCCTAACATCCCTTTGATTCATCTGAGTCTTCAACTTCCAATTGTGACCTCTTGTGTCTGTGTCCCTTCTCTGGAACATCCCGTCTTTGTCCACCTCGTCTATTCCGCGCAGTATTTTATATGTCGTTATCATGTCTCCCCTGACCCACCTGGCCTCCAGTGTCGTCAGGCCGATTTCCCTCAACCTTTCTTCGTAGGACAATCCCCGTAGCTCTGGGACTAGTCTCGTTACAAACCTGTGCACTTTCTCAAATTTCTTGACGTGCTTGACTAGGTGTGGATTCCAAACTGGTGCTGCATACTCCAGTATGGGCCTGACGTAAATGGTATACAGAGTCTTGAACGACTCCTTACTGAGGTATCGGAGCGCTGTCCGTAGGTTTGCCAGGCGCCCGTATGCTGCAGCAGTTATCTGATTGATGTGCGCCTCAGGAGATATGCTCGGTGTTATACTCACCCCCAGATCTTTTTCCTTGAGTGAGGTTTGCAGACTCTGGCCATCTAAACTATATTGTGTCTGCGATCTTCTTTGCCCTTCCCCAATCTTCATGACTTTGCATTTGGCGGGGTTAAACTCAAGGAGCCAGTTGCTGGACCAGGCTTGTAGCCTGTCCAGGTCTCTTTGTAGTCCTGCCTGATCCTCATCCGATTTGATTCTTCTCATTAACTTCACATCGTCCGCAAACAAGGACACTTCTAAATCTATCCCTTCCGTTATGTCGTTCACATATACCAAGAACAGCACAGGTCCTAGGACTGACCCCTGTGGAACCCCGCTTGTCACAAGCGCCCACTCTGACACCTCATCACGTACCATGACTCGTTGTTGCCTCCCTGTAAGGTATTCTCTTATCCATTGCATGTATGTGTGTGTGTGTGTGTATGTGTGTGTGTGTGTGTGTATGTGTGTGTGTGTGTGTGTGTGTGTGTGTGTGTGTGTGTGTGTGTGTGTGTGTGGGGGTTTTGTGCCCGGGGAATAGAGGGGTAGCGTGGGAAGGTGAGGGGGTGGCCGCGAAAAAGTTTTAAAGGTTAACAGAGCAATGTTTTACAATCCCTGCCCTCCTGGCCAGCTGTTGCGCTCCTCAAACAGTGTTTACGCCCAGCAGAAACTCCCCACCATGCCACACCCCCGCGGCATCCCCGGAAACTGCTAAAACGGCCCAAGAGCTTTTAAAACCCTGTGAGCCACACCCCTAGGGGTTCTTTCTCAGGGGTGGTTTTTTTACAAAAAAAAAACGAAAAGTTTAGGGATACGGGGGCCCAATCCCAGGTGGGAACCAATCAAACCCAAAACCCCAAAAGATAAACCGTATTGGGAAAGCGACCACTCCCCAAAGCAAATTGCCCATACTCCCGCCCTCAAAAGGGCCCCCAAGGTTTACTCATGGTACCAGGGCCCCCAAAAGAGGGGAAAACTCAAAGATTTCTAGGCCATTAAAGGTCCTAGCTGTATCCTGCGTCTCGAGGGACTCCAGGAGTCCACCAGGCTGACATACCAGGCTGACTCATTTTTACCGGGGTGATAAAGGTACCGGGCTGATTCAGGGTACCAGGCTGACTCATGATACAGGCTGGGCATGTATCGGGGCAAATTTCCAAGGTCCCCGGCCTAAAGTCAGGGTACCGGGTTTACCATGGTAAACCGGCTGATCATAAATTTCAGGCTGAGTAAAGGTCCCAGGCGATTTCATGGTAAAAGGGCGGGACTCATGGCCCAAAGGCTAAATCATGATATCGGGCTGAGTCATGGTCCAGGCTGAGTCGGGGGTCCCAAACTAAACTCATGGTACCGGGCCGGGACTCACGGTAGGGAGGATGACTCAGGGTTTTCCCCTGATTATGGTCCCAGGCTGACTCTAAAAACCAGGCGGGACCAGGGTCCCGGGCTGACTCAGGGTTCCCGGGCGACTAAATGGTCCCCCAAGCGGACTCGGGGCCCCGGCTGACCATGGTCCCCAGGCGGGTTTAATGGTCCCGGGTTTGAATCATTTTACCGGGCTGACTCTTTGGAAACCGGGCCCTGACTCTGGTAGGGGGTTGACTAAAGGGTACCAGGCGACTCAGGGGAACCCAAAGGAAACCCCATGGTACCCAACCCCGACTAGGGAAACCAGGTTTTTTTAAAGGTCCCAAGGTTGACCCCATGGAACCGGCCCGGGACTCATGGTCCCCGGGCAAAATCTGGTTCGGGCCCTGACTAGGGTTACCAGGCTGACTCATGGTACCAGGCTGCTCGGGTTTCCAGGTGACTCATGTTCCCAAGGCTGCTCGGGTTCCAGGCTGACTCAAGGCCGGGGCGGGCCATGGAACCAGGCTAAAACCATGGATCAGGCTGACTCTTGGTACCGGCTGACTCAGGGTTACCAGGCGACTCAGGTACCGGGCTGACTCAGGGTACCAAAGGTTTTGACTCTTTGGTACCGGTAAATCAGGGTACCGGGCCCTGACTCATGGTATCAGGCTGACTCATGGTACCAGGCTGACTCATGGTACCAGGCTGACTCATGGTACCAGGCTGACTCATGGTACCAGGCTGACTCATGGTACCAGGCTGTTTCATGGTACCAGGTTGACTCATGGTACCAGGCTGACTCATGGTACCAGGCTGACTCATGGTACCAGGTTGACTCATGG